GGCTCATATCGTTTTCCACTTGAAGCGGATCGGTTTGAGCTTCTAGTTTCATCTGCTCTTCCGAATCCGAATGCCGAACACTAAGATTCTCTGCTTTATCGTGCCCCGTACTTGCTTTTGCGGTTTCTTGCTTACTGTTCTTGGCTTCTACGACGGCTTGCTCCATGAGGCATAGGTCCACCATACCCTGCCGTTTGTCTTTCAATACGTTTTCTCGGTCACTAGAAACGATAAGATATTCTCTAGGCATTCGTCTACTTTCTAGGATTTTGTCGTCTGTACAATCTTCCGCCCGCTTGTTCTTCTTCTCTGAAGGTTCATTGTATTTCACTTTATCATCCTTTTCAACCCTTCTATTGTCATCCTCTTTTTTCAGTTTTTTTGCTTCCTTTAATTTCAATTTAAGGCAAGCCCTCTCGTATTTCTCGTCTGCGTCACTGGTTTCGTCATTTTCACTGATCGCCTCCCACTCAGCCTCGGCTTCAGATGAGCTTAAGCTCTCTGCAATACTTGATAGACGTTTTGAGTGTCCAGCGTTACCAGCCACATCACCGTCATTCGGCGATCGCCTTTGGCGCAATTGCGAAACCGATGCGGTGCTAATCGCTGAGGTAGCACGTTTGCAGGCAGCACTCCCGGAGTGCATTATTCGGATAATTGAGCTAGCATCATACTCAGCCTCGTCGGCAGATGATTCAGACGCTGAATCAGACTCTGAGGATGATATGGAGGAGCAGGGGCCGGACAAGGCGGGTGAAAAGGAAGCAGTGGATACGGAGTGAGAGGCAACATTTTCTGTGGTAAATGCAGGCTGGTCTACTGGGGCCTCAGTGGTGCCTAATGAAGAGGCAGCGGTGACAGTCGTTTCTAAGGCAGCTGTTGAATAAGCCGTCGTAAATTGATCAGTCCTATTAGGGGATGCAACGGTCTTAGCAGCCTCATCAAAGTTCACCGGATGACCGTCTGAGACTTCGTCCTGACAAATGAAGAGTTTGGAACCAGGTAAATACCAAAAGCGTTCGGCAATGCAATTTGAGGCCATACGTCTATTTGCTGGGGAGAGGACGTCTTTAGCTGCAACAGTCTGGTGGATGACAATGAATTCGTCTTCTTCATCGATCTAGAATGCATTTTGTTTAGGATAAAAATGGAAATTAAAAAGACTAATTAAACAGCCAGTATGATTCTCTCAAATACAGGTTCAGATAATTTAAGATGAAAAACATGTAATTTAGAGGTGCTAATTTTACTGGCTTTCTAATATGAGGGAGGGGGCTTTAAAGTTGTAGATATGTATGTATTCAATATATTCAATATTGCTCTAAGTAATCGGTATTCATGCGATGGTCACAGTTTGCCTCAGACAGCAAAACATGTCACTTGGGTAACACAATGGCCGAATGTCAGTGTCATGGGTAGCATCCAAGGTATGATTTGCTCTATTTATATATTTGGTGGGGAGCATCGTCAATAGGACAAACTAGCATACATAAAAACCACACAATTCAGAAGATGAAACTCAAGCCAATCCTAGAGCTCAACCTAAGCAGAACTATCAACAAAATGGGAAGTAGAATAGATGTATTTTATAAATGAAGCCGACTACGCCAGACAAACTAAAATAAGGGCTAAGTCGACTTGTTTAATCCATAACTTATGTTTCGTATGTAAGTAGAGAATCGAGACTACCAGTAAATCAGTAATATGAGATATATTCACCCTATTTCGTTTAAGGTAATGAAGGACTGGTAGTAGAATTTTCCCACAATGATATGAGTAGAGCTGACGTTTCCATCAAATTTCACATTGCCTTGCTTTCCCAAAAGTTGTTCTCATCCAGGCAAGAGTGGACTGCCGTTTCAACCTCGCATAGGTCTTATTAACACGCCCAGCTGGAGTCGAACCATGACAGTGCAGCATGTGAGCTTGACACGTTAACCACTCGTTCACATTGCCACGAGTGCCCTTGGGTCACAGGGCAGATGTGAATTTCAAGGAAGGCCAGGCCTTTTCCTATATCACATTATTTGGTGGGATTTTCGATGAAGCAAACGTATTCAATGGAAACGTCAGCTCTACTCATATTATTGTGGGAAAATTCTACTACCAGTCCTTCATCACGTTAAACGAAATAGGGTGAATACATCTCATTTGACTGATTTACTGGTAGTCTCGAAACTCTAATTACATACGAAACACAAGTTATGGATTAAACAAGTCGACTTAGCCCTTATTTTAGTTGGTCTGGCGTAGTCGGCTTCATTTATAAAAGAGGCAATATAGCTTCTTCATTTTATCCCAACTAGTAGTTTTCGTCCGTCCACCCTGGGAGAGAACACCGTTTGGAAAAGCAAGGCTATGCGAAATTCACTGGAAACTTCAGCTCTGGTCATATTATAAAGGGAAAATTCAATCATCAGACCTTCATCAACTTAAACGAACTAGGGTGAATATATCTCATATAACTGATTTACTGATAGTCTCGAAAGCCTACTTATATACAAAACACTGTTGCTATTTCATAAATTTTGGGCTGAAAAAAACCCAAGACTCTCTTGCTTTTCAGACTTAAGGTAAAGTGGAATGCAGCATTTAAATTGAAGATTTTTCAAGTATATAGTGGCGTAATTTGATATAACACTTTGGTCACTTTGATAAATGTGGGGATATCATCAAGCCCATACACCCGTGCAAATCTGAATATTTGTGCATAGGTTTATTTGGGGACAAGAACTAATCAGAAATTGAGTACAGGTTATTTGCTAAGAGTTAACAAGCATTAACTTATCGTAGGTAGGGAGGCTAGATACTTAGAGAGGAATTCGTTAACATGATTAAATCAGTTGATCAGATAATAGCTGAACAAGAATTTTCCATGCATTACGTCAAGCTTTATAAAATACTATATTACAAATATATGAAATAACTGGTTAGCCAGAGGTTAAAAATCCTTTAATAATAATACATAAATATATAATATATAATATACATATATAATATATAAATAAATATAAAAATAAATAAATAAATATATATATATCGTTCCCCGATTCTGCAATATAATGAGGAAGTGTCATTTGGACATAGTTAATG